AAACAGCGTCAGCATGAATCTTCCAGTAAAGCCAATCGACAGCTGGTCAAGAGGAATCCGGTGTCGTCTTCTGGTGGAACCGACCTTCGAATCTCTTCACTCAACACTTCCACTAGAAATGGAAGTAAGCCCAACACTGTCTTGAAGCCGACTCAATAGCATCACCATGGCAACCGGAATGAACCGACACTCGAGCAGAACAAGCTCCCAGATTTCACCAACGACCTGAACGCAAGTGACACGCACTCACTTTCTGTCGTTGTATTCACACCGTTTCTGCAACCAGGCCAGCACCCATATTCACACCCCACACGAGAGCACAGACTGTGTTTGATGTAAGTGTGAATTAATGGGGCGGGCAGACACACAAAAGTGGTACATACTTTGCCCCGTTCTCACGGTCTCTCAGATCCACTTGTCCAGGAGGAAAGTCAACGTATTTACACAAACACACATATCCATCCACCCACCCATTCACACATAGACAACACGCGCATTCACATGTAGGCGTAAATATATGCTTATGGAAGGCATTTGCCGCTAATTTCTTATTTAAGAAAGTTTGTCACATTGAAAGCCGGTGTAGGCTCAAGCCGGTAACTCCCTTGGACGGAGGGTGAGGTGGAGAGCGGGTTGCAGTGGTTGCAGCCCCGGGCAACATGAGGTCGTGTCTCTCGGACTCGTGGGCACCATTGCACTTACTGGATAGACATTTGTGTGGTGTGTGTGTGTGTGTGTGAATGGTCAACTTGTCCTATAAACAAATGGGCAAGGAAGTCTTGCCACATGTGCTTTTGGCGGAAGCATATGCAGGTACCATTTCAGCGGCACGATAGGCATGCCAGTACGTTGCTGGTATGCAGTTGTTGGTATTGATTAAGGCAGGTTTAGTACTGCCAGCATGCCATGGTTACTAGGCAGTTGAAGCGACGTGAAGAGAGGATCTGGTGCCGAAACACTGACGTGCCTGACTCCGGTGCGGCTGAACGGTACCGGTGGTCAGACGCGATTAAATCGTCCTGCTAGTCCAACAGAAGATCTGGGTCGTCTTGACCGGAGTCGCGAAAGTCGGGTTCCTCAACAAATGGCCGCGCTCATCGAAATGCTGTGGAACTGTACCAGTTTAGTCTGCTACAATCGGTACTGGAGTCTCAATCTCACCCCATTGTCACGCATCATCAACCCAGTGAGATTCGAAACAATGAGACAGAATGAGAAATTTGCAACATTACATTTTGATGTATTTTATGTGCTACGGACTTTTTGTAAGCAATATTGTTGTTTGGACTGGCAAATGGTTGTTTGCTTCAATGACATTTCAACGTTGAAAATGTGTTATGCGAGATGGCTTAAAAGTACTCGATAACATGTGGGAAATTAACGCTGACCAGATGGGTTTGATTCTTGTTGGGGGTAATGATCTGACCCAGACGTAGGCTCACTCTAAAGTGACAGAGGTTCTTGTTAAAAATCTGTTCGTAGTCTAAGTGACAGCTTTCTATGCTTATTTTTCGTTTATAATCGAGTTTTAAAGACTACCAGTAGACAATATATATATATATTTCTTCGCAAGTAGTGCAGGACTGG